AGGTTAAAGTTTACCGTCCAATATTTCTTATTGTAAGCGGTTTGTATGCTGTTTTTTTCTGTATCATTATCACTCTTTTCGGTAGCACATTGGCTCATTGCTATTAACCCCACTTGAACCCAATTTAACCGTTATTTGAGCAACAATCACCAGTCCACCCGCGCAACGGTTCGCCGCGTTTGAAATAGGCAGCAGCGACGCTCGGCCGCGGCGTACCGCCAGAGAGTGGGCGGAGCCAGGCGGTTGACGTCACCCAATATGACGCACGCAGCACAGATCTATGCTGCAGGGACCCGAACAACCCTCAGGCCCATAGCCGTGTTCGGGTCCGCGCAAAATATTTTGCTGAGTGTGATGATGCGATGATGTCAGCCGCCTGGCTCCGCCCATGCTCCGCCCCCTCTCCGCCGGCCCGCAAAGCCGAGGGCCACGCGACACGCGGCGAACCGTGGCGCTGATGGACAGGTGTCTTTTGTTCAATAACAGAGTAAAATGCGTTCAAATGTGGTTAATAGCAATGTGCCACTGAAAAGAAAGATGATACCAAAAAACGTCATACTATCCACTTACAATAAGAAATATAGTTATGAGGGTAAATTTTAATCCGCGCCACTTTCGCCTCCTGCAGCTACTATTTTATTCTTGCGCAAAACTGAAAGATTTTGCGCAAGCCTACGTCACACGTGTAACGTCATACGCCGAAGGGCGGAGCTTGGCACCCGAGAGACCCCAACTGCGCATGCGTGGTGCAAAATTTTACAATAGGAAGAAGCGCTGCCCGAACACGGCCCATGTCACTCCACTTTAGATGACATCATAAGGGGGCCTCAGGATAATAATGGCGCGGTGCGCCACAATCGCTTCCAAGCTACTTGCCAACAGCTGCCATTTTCGAAAATATTATTTTGGAATAAGATTACAAATAATAAAAATGTTGTAATAAAGTTGTCAATTAAATTGATACCTTATCTTACTGAAAAATGATTTCTTCATAGTAAAAATATAATATCGATGCGTCTTTACCTTGCTTTCCTACTACTGCAGAGGGTTTTTAAATTGTCTATATCTTCAAAACCGACCATTTCTTAGCATTTTGCCGCTCGTTTTTGTCGCTAGAAAATTAGTTGAGCTTTCTATTGAAATCGACGGTGGAGCGGTATGTGTAGAATACCATTAACCTTCCAGGCGGTGGGGGGGCATTTTTTTGCCCCCCCCCCCCCCACTTTAGTTTTTTTCGATATATCTCGAGAACCGCTGCGCCGATCGTCACCAAACTTTCAGTACCTTCCCGGGAGTAGCTAGCGCACATGGTGACCAAAAATTTTCCAAAGGCTATGATAGGTTGGCCGCTAATGACGTCAGAGTGACGTCATTTGTCATTTTCGACCCAAAAAAAGGTTTCGCAGGAAGAGCTGTCAGGCCTACAGCTTTAGAGATACAGAAAAATGTTTCAGACATAAAAGGTGTGGAATCAAGAGGGCTACAAAACTGCTATTTCGGTTTCGAATTTTTTGGATTTTGACCCCCCAAAATCAAAAAATAGATTTTTTGAATATAATAGCGAAAAATCCAATAAGTTTTTTGAATTTCGAAAAACGGAATATATGTGATAGTCCCTACCGCCTTCTATCTACATACCAAATTTGAGATCGATACCTCATTTTTTGGCCAAGTTATAGCGAAAAAACCATTGACCATAGAGGTCAATGGAAAAAAACTGTTCAAAATTGATGACGTCAAATTTTCAAACTCAATTTTTAGCCATTCTAGACCCCGTAGCGCAAAACAAAGACCACTATTAGACTCCCAGTGAAGAGCTGCATCGAATCAATACCCATTTTATGCAAAAATATCAACTTTGAAATTTGACCTTTTTTGACTTGACCTCCACCAGAAAGTGACCTAAACCGTACCTGATGGTCTTATAACCAACACCATTGAGTTGGAAATGAAAAACTGGTCATAAAACATGCATTGCACAACCTTAGTAAAGTTGGGTTCATGTGGTGACCCTTGGTGGCCTGACCTGAGGTCAATGAATTTTGGTTTCCCTCGACAAATTTGACAGGGCTATCGAACGCCGTTTGAATTTTCCGGATCCGTCCAGTAGTTTCGGAGATACGGGGGGGGGGGCAAAAAATGCACCCCCCCCCCCCCCCCCAACGCGCGGAAGGTGGCCGGGAGGCCCACCGCCTGCCGGGTTAACCCTCGCCCACACATGCCATTTTCCCATCCTAGAACGCACATGGGGGGTTGCCACCACCCCCCCCCCCTTCCCACGCCATTTCATTCCTGTTGGAGATAGAGCTTCGCTGTAAGGACCAAAAAGATTCTTTGGGAAGAGACGACTCCAATAATGCCCAGTTTTACCTTCTCAGGTCAGTCATTGACCTTCCAGGTCAGGTCAAACTAAAAATGTTGGTGTTTTGGGTCACCGTTGGATATCAAGTGCGCTGCTTATCATATACCTACCGATGACGATGCCGTTTTCTGGTGCCGGTCAAGTTAGGTCAAGGTCAATGATGTATGTGTGTGTCTGTGAGTAGGTATACTGATGTGTGCACCGATTGTTTGTGTCCATATTACATGAAATCATGATCTGAGAAGCTTTTAACAAAAATGCAGTCAAATAACTTCACGAAAAGTAACTTCAGCTTGCCTAAAACGCAATTATTTTCGATAACCTAGGTTGACCTTGACCCTGACCTTGACATCTGTACATCGTCGAACAACATGTTCCATGATAGGTGGGAGGTAAGACTGGCAAAAAAGGCCGAAATCAAGGTGTCAAAAGCTCACAAGGCCCATAGCCAACGCAAGATGGAATTGGTCATTTGGGTCATGACATGACCTGAAAAACAAGGCCATATCTCCGAAACCAAAAACCCCAGAAACTTGAAATTTTCAGTGGACATCAAGAAAGGATAGAGGAGCAGCTAAAAGTCAGGCTTCTAGCTCAAAAACGTTGAGTGCAGAACAGAAAGACTACCTGGGGCAACCACCCCCCCCCCCGCCCCATGTGCGCAGGCGAGGGCATGGGTGTCGTTTTGTATGGGCTGGGTAGGGCCCGAGTCCTAGCAATAATTTCATAATTTTAACATTAACCCTATGGCGGTGCATGGTAAGAATGGCTTTGGTATCCCGAAATTAACCATTACAGCCCTACCAATAGATTTCGTAAAGTGACGCCCGTGGGCGAAGGTTAATAATTTTCAAATGAAATTAGTCATTTTCACGTTGTAAAGGAATAAAGTACCCCTGGCAAGCATCAGGGGTGACGTCACTCACTTGGGCGGCGGAACGGGGAGGGCAGGGCACCAGGGCACCGTGCCCCCCTTTGATTTTGGCATTTTAACATTAGCCCTATGGGCGTTGCATGGAGAGAATGGGACCAAAAGTTGGCAGTGCCCCCCTTTAATTGAAGGTGTTCAGCCGCTACTGGTCACTGAGGATCTGTCTCTGATTGGTCGGCGGGGAAGTGACTGTACCTTCTATAGATGGCCTTGGATTGGATGTGACCCAACCCTCATAATAGTTATATACAATTAATTGTGTGATAGGTGGTAAAGTCTAGCACACATTACACTGATAGATTGTAAGAGGTGGAACATCATTTTGGTAGGCAACTGTACCTACATTCAGTTCCCCCTCCAATACAACCGGATAGGCTGGCACTCCTCATTGCCTGATTTATTCCAATGAAAGTGACCAGACCAGCGCACACTACAAAGCTGCCATGGTCAGTGATATATTCATCAATCAATTCAAGTCAATACATTCATCCTTGATCACTTTCCTCTCATGCCTGCAGTGCCAATGAAACAGTTGAGCATTGCATGCTTCGCCTGGAATATTTCTCTGAGGCGCATGGTGAACACACATGGTGCACAGCTCTTTATAGGCCCAATGCTGTTCGGGCAGCGCGCCCTACTGCAAAATTTTGCACCACACATGCGCAGTAGGGGTCCCTCGGGTGCCAGGCTGTCCCTCGGCACATGACGTAACATGTAGGCATGACGTAGGCTTGTGCAAAATCTTTCAGTTTCGCCCAGGAAGAAAGAAGTAGCTGCAGGAGGCGGTAGCTGCGCAAATTAAACTTTGCCCTCCTATATTTTTCATTGTAAGAGCTTTGTATGTTTTTTGGTTATCACCACTCTTTTCAGAGCCATATTGCTATTAACCACATTTGAACACATTTTACTCAGTTACTGAACAAAAGCCATCAGTCTATCCATGCCACAGTTAATCACGCATCGAATAATGACTGTCGCAGACCTCAGCTCTGTGGGGTGCGGGCCGGCAGTGGGCAGATCCAAGTAACGTCTGACCATTGACGGCGGAACGGGGAGGGCACTGGGACACAGTGATTTTGATTTTGATTTGATTTTAACATTAACCCTATGGGAGCTGTATGGAAAGACTGGGACCAAAAGTCGGCAGTGCCCCCTTTAATTGAAGGTGTTCCCGCGTCTGACGTCATCCAAGTGTGCCGTCACACACCACACCATAAAATATTTTGCGCAGAGCTGAGGAGCATTCTGAAATATGAACTCCATCTGTTATGGGAAGTCCAACTGCTACAGATTGCTACGCCAGTGTCAGTGTGGTTCATTGGAAGCAGGTGGGATGTCGCCTTTCAAGGGAGAAGACGACAGGCTTGATTTAGAACCACGAAACTCCCACCTGGTGGCTGTATTAAGTGGAGTAGCTTGATTTATTAAAAGGATTAGTCGACAATTGGCTTCTATGAAGAAAATCCATAAACAACTGAAGCGGCCACAAAAGGTGGCTGGATTAATTATGTGAGGACTCATTAAGCTGATTCCAACTTAATCCTACTCTCGCCCCCTATCATCCCCTCCAACTTGAAAATCGCTCCTATGCCTCTGCAGAAAATCAACACACCTTTACTTTACCTTGAAATAGGTACTTTGCCCAGTCCAGGCTGAATTGAGATATATCCCCATATATCAGCATCAAGATACCTACAAGAAACCTACCTCAACCTTGTAAGAAACAGCGCTGTCCCCTCACTAGTTTATTGAACTCTTAGCTCCATTAGATCAAGATGCGCTTGCAAGGCCATGATATAGGCCTTGCCCATGTGATATAGGCTTGATATAGGCTTGCACTTATTGGGCTAGTTCAAGATTCCTATATTCCTACCTTGATTCCTATGCCAGGTTGGTTGGCTTGGGGTATGTACCAGCCGTACCAGACGCCGTTTGCGGATTGGTTTGGGGTTTGCGCCCGGCCCCAGGGTATATTGGTATATAGAACGTATAGAACAACGTTTGCGCCATTCCGATTTTTGGCGGCCAAGTTTGGCGGCAACCGCGGCAATCATCGGGAGTGTCTAAAAAGCAGACGAGATTAGCAGACGAACCAATGCTCCGAAACTATCGGGCCGATTTCAATGAACTCTTCATCATTAGACGCACCGTGGTCTGAAACCGTGCCGTATATGATTTTTTTTATTGGTCCACCTTAAGTGGTCCAAATCGGTTCAAAACACCTAAAAATTGTTGCAGACGAGCCCATACTCCGAAACTACTTGATTGATTTCGATGAAACCCTCACCATTAGACGCGCCGTGGTCTGAAACGGTGCCGTTTTTGATAATTTTTTATTGGTCTACCGTAAGTGGTCCAAATCGGTCCAACACCCCGAAAAACTGTTGCAGACGAGCCCATGCTCCGAAACTACTGGACCGATTTCGATAAAACCTTCACGATTAGACGCGCCGTGGTCTGAAACGGTGCCGTTAATGACAATTTTTGATTGGTCCAACCTAAGTGGTCCAAATCGGTCCAAAACACCTTAAATCTGCTGCAGACGAGCCCATGCTCCGAAACTACTGGACCGATTTCGATGAAACCTTCACCACTAGACGTGCCGTGGTCTGAAACGGTGCCGTTTTTGATAACTTTTTTATTGGTCCACCCTAAGTGGTCCAAATCGGTCCAAAACCCCTAAAAACTGTTGCAGACGAGCCCATGCTTTTGTGACCTATATAAGAAGTAAAATGGTTTCAATTGATAGTTTCGGAAGAAAAAGCAATGCAAATCGTCCCGTGATGAATATTGCAGAGGTTTTAACCCGCGCCCCGTTGGGGTCTGCCGAGCAACGCGCCCTGCTGGGGGGGGGGGGCAATTTGCCCCCCCCCCCTAAGATCTCGAGAACCACGCAACATAGCGACAAGCGGTAAACGGCGTTGGATAGCTCCAACAGGGAACTACCTTGTGACTCACTTTCATTGACCTTGGTCAAACCGATGACGTCACAGGTCAGGTCAAATGTCAAATTTTCACCGTTTACAGGCATTTCAAGAAATGCGTTGTAAAATCGAGTAAAATGCATTTCATTTAAAATCATCGATGGGGTATTGTTCGTCAAAAACATATTTTGCTATTTGAGGTCACTGATGCCAGGTCAGGTCACAGAGGTCAGGTCACTGAGGGTCACAATATGAAAATATCATGTGATACATGTTTTATGGTCCATTTTATATGTCAAATGCGATTATGTGGGTCAGGCAGCCTTTGGGGTCAGTTTAGATTATGTTCTGGTGAAGGCCAGGTCAAGGTCAGGTTAAGGTCAGGTCAAATTCGGTAAAATTTCAAAGTTGATATTTTTGCATACAATGGGTACCGATTCGATGCAGCTCGTCACGGGGAGTTCAATGGTAGTCTTTGTTTTGCGCTACGCGCTCTAGAATTGCCAAAGAATTGGGTTCCAAAATTTGACGTCATCAATTTTGAACGGTTCTTTCGCTCTAACTTGGCCAAAAAAAGAGGTATCGATCTAAAAATTGGTATGTAGATAGAAGAGCGCAGGGACTATCACATATGTTCCGGTTTATTCGAAATTCAAAAAACGTTTGGGATTTTTTGCGTTTTTCTAAAAAAAAATCAATTTATTGAATTTTTGGGGGTCAAACTCCAAAAAAAAAATCCGAGATATCAGTTTTGCATCGCCGTCTTTTCTGTACATGACCATATAAAGAACTTTGAAATTGCTAAGTAAATGTAACTTTGGTGAGCGTTTCAAGATTTCATGTTTTTTTATCATTTTTGCTCGAACATGACCTCAGTTTGACCTCAACAACTCCTGACTTAAGGTGATCTAGGACTTGAAATTTTGTGTGGAGGTGTCAAATTGATGCCCGGTAAGGTACTGAAAATTTCGCGGCACTGCGCGCCGCCGTTTTCCTGCTATTCAGGAAAAACCACAAGGGGTGCCAAATTGGCCCCCAACGGGGCGAGGATTAAAGATGCACCCGAACTATTGTACTTTCGCCCCCACTTGTAAACCGCCAAACAATGTGCCAATATATCATTGGTGCAAAAAAGTTAAAAAATTGTTGTAATTCAAAACTGTAATGAGACAGCACCATCTAGTTGTGGTGGTTGAGCCAACTCCTTCAGAAAAGGTAATGCTAAGGTTCGCCACCCACGGATACGCGTATGCGATATCTCGAGTAGTTCCAATTCTTTCAGTGAGGGCTATGCCAATGACTCGACACCCGCGGGGACAATATCCGGTGCTGAGTAGCTACCTTATCTTCGGACTGCAGGTACGGTGCATATTTTTGAGTAATAACGCGGGGTAGTCTGCCTACCCTCTTACCGTATATCTCGACATGGCGAGTTAATGTGCATATGTTACAGGGAGTATGAGAAATCAGTTAGTTTGCAAACTACCTAGGGAGTTTGCAAACTCCCTGAACGATCAGGTAGTTTGCAAACTCCCTAGGTAGTTTGCAAAGTACCTGGTCGAACAGGTAGTTTGCAAACTCCCTAGGTAGTTTGCAAAGTCCCTAGTTAGTTTGCAAACTCCCTAGGGTTGTTGCAAACTACCTAGGTAAAATGCGACAACGACGAAACAACAGCCATATACGAGTACATATTGTAGATAAGACGCGATGAATTGGTTCAGAGCTCAGAATGAAGCTTGGCAGCAATGGTGCATAACGAGACGATGTGGTGTTTTGATGACGCTCTTTCGCAGCTTACTATCTATTTTTGTCTTGCTCGCAAATATCACCTTACAGATTAAAGGGACACTCCCACCTTAACATTAGTTTTGAGTTGAGATAGCCAAATTGGTGGCAATGGCCTGCAAATACCGGTTTGGGCACTCACAACATCGAAAAATGCTTTAATTCGAAGATATGGAATTTCAAACTTGCAGTTTTCGGATTCTAAGGGGCTAAAGCATTGGAATGCCCCCTTAGAATTTGTGACGTCAGCGGAGATCTAACGATTTTCAAATCTTAGACTAAAACCATCGTTAACACGTGGTGGTATACGCTGCTTTGCGCGCAACGTCTGCCGCACTTTAAGGCTGCCAAATTATTGCTTCCAAATAAAGTCGCTAGTAACAGGGGAGATCCCAAAAAGTTAACAAAAGTAAAAGCCTAATATCTTGAAAACCAGTGAATATTTTTCGGTGAATTTGGTAGATATTCGTTTTCGCTCTTTCTGAACCAAGGGACATCACTTTCATGCCAATTCATTAACTTTTTTGAAGGTGGGAGGGTCCCTTTAATGTCTGCATTTTTTCTTGTAGTCGACAACATGTTACGTTGCCATCCACCTCCTTTCCTTGGACGGATCAGCGGCCTCTCCTCCACCGGTCTAGCGTCTATCAGAAAGCGGATGACGTCACTATATGTTCGGCGTCTTCCACGGCTCGAATTATTGCCGCTCAACGTTTCCTCCCACTCCCGGAACCTCTGATCGAACAGTTCGCGAGACATTCCCACAGAACCACAGAGCAACCACAGAACAGAAATTGCGATCACTGTGCTGCCTCTTCACACTCCGTTCAGCACTGATGACCCGCCTGCACTGAGCACCGTCCACCAGCCGTGACCCGACAGCGCCTTTCATCCGTATCCCGCAGGCGCAAAACTGACCTGACCTGTCAAGCTCAGGGCAGTCGACTGCTGGCTACCAGGATCGGGTGGAAGCGGAGCGTTGGGTTGACTAAAGATGACATCCTGATTTCTAACCCGCGCCCCGTAGGGAGGGGGGGGGGGCGAAACGGTCCCCCTGTCCTTTTCCGTCAATATCTCCTAAACGATTGCAGCTATCGCCACCAAACTTGCAGGATTTCTCCGGGCATCAATTTTACACATTGTGACCAAAATGTTTCCAGAGGCTATGATAAGTTAGCCACAAATGACGTCAGAATGACGTAATGTTCTGCCATTTTCGACCGAAAAAAGAGCTTCGCGAGAAGAGCTGTCAGACCTAGAGCTTTGAAGATACATAAAAAAATGATCAAGACATAAAAGGTGTGAAATCAACAGAGTTACAAAACTGCTATCTAGGATTTTTGACATTTTTTTATTTCTGACCCCCAAAAATGAAAAATGAAATTGGATATGTTACCCCCCCCCCCCAAAAAGTGTTTTTTGCGTTTCCAAAAAACCGGAAAATATATGATAGTACCTACCGTATTCTATCTACATACCGAATTGCAGATATATATATATATATATATATATATATATATATATATATATATATATATATATATATATATATATATATATATATATATATATATATATATATATATATATATATATATATGTTACGGGTCATATGCTAACTTGGGCAGTATGCAAACTACCCGGGCAGTATGCAAACTACCCAACAGCCCGGGCAGTATGCATACCGCCCGGGTAGTATGCATACTACCCGACCCCTTGGGCAGTATGCATACCGCCGGGGCAGTTTGCATACTGCCCGGGTAGTATGCATACTACCCACCTTTTCTCTCACGGGCAAGATGTTTACTCGGGCAATATGCTCACCGTGGCCCGTGAGACTAGTTAATGCAATAGCTCACATATATGTTTGTTTGTTTGTTTTTTGGGTTAGGCCCTTTCGGTCGACAAGACCATTGCAGAGCCGGAAGGATGATAGGAATTAGGGGGAGACATTGGTCTGGGCAGACACCCTAGTGAGTCGCCGGGGCTGAGCCCGTCCGAAGACAGGCCACCCAGCCCCAAGGCACTCACTGCACCCGGCTACGGGGTGCGCTCCCTCGGGAGCAGCGGTGCCGCTCCAAGGGAGCAGCCCGCATGAGATAAAGTTGCCTGTCCAGCCCGGAAGGGGGTTGCGGTGTGGAGGAGAAGGATTTCA